ATAACGATCTATCATAATTCAGTTAGTCTATTTTTCGTTATGATCCTTTTCAATCCGACAAATTTTTGTAATTGTATTATCTTGTCATAGAAAACGTTTTCCGTTGATTAAGAATTTGAAATCCGTTCTTATCTGTCTCTTTTAGTATACGAGATATTTACTATTGAATTGGAAAAAATCGAAAAAAAATTCCAGTAGCGGTAGAAGTGACTCGTGTTCAGGGCACCGTACGAGGGTAGCGATAGGTGATTTGTATTCAGGGCACCGTACGAGGGTAGTGGTAGAAGTGATTTGATTCAGGGCACCGTACAAGGGTAGCGGTAGAAGTGATTTGTATTCGGGGTACCGTATGAAGCTAGCGGTAAAAGTGACTTCCATTCAGGGCACCGTATGAATCTTTCATAATACTCAAACCGCTGATTGCTATCCTTTTTAGTTTAGAAGATATACGCTACCGAAAATCGTCGCGAAAATCGTACCATTGCCCATTTTTTTCTTAGGACTCAAAGTTTCATCTCTTAGATTTCAATTTTAACTACCCTATCTTGTAGAGAATGTTTCGTAGATTAAGAGTCTGCGATTTGACCTTCCTATCTCTTTTAGTTTACGAGATATTCACATTTGAAGAAAATGGTCAAAAATTGCAAAATGTCACTTTTTAGCACTTTTAGTCGCGTTTTTCAACCTTTTACTGTTGGAAATATAATTATTTTATATTTTTATCTGATAAAGAATCTTCCAATCTTTCATAATCTACAATCCGCTGGTTGCTATCTCTTTTAGTTTAAGAGATATGAATTTTTGAAAATCGTCGAAAAAAAGTATCAAGCACCCCCCCTTGGCAATTTTTTTCTTATGACTCAAAATTTCATCTCTTAGATTTCGATTTTAACTAGCCTATCTTGTAGAGCATGTTTCGTAGATTAAGAGTCTGCGATTTGACCTTTCTATCTCTTCTAGTTTACGAGATAACCGCACTCTTTCTGCTTTATAAATTAACCAAAATTTAATTAGCTAATTTTTGGTTATGACAATTTTTCAACCGCTCAAATTTTCTGATTTTATTTGCCAAACATGCATATTTCATGTTGTAGTTTTGTAATATTTCTTGTAAAACATCTTAATGTGAATACACAAAACCCTATCGAGGATGTCTTACACAAAAATCAATAATGGATAGAGCATCACATGTTCCCAGCGTACAAGTACTCGGCCAAATGAGGATGTGAAGCTTCTGTGGCAAAGCAAAAGTTGAGCAGTCAAGGTTCATTAACGATGTTGATTCCGAATATTCGCAACACACATGAATTGTTATCAAGGCTTAGGCTTACGCTCAAAGTTTGCGGCGGCTTTGACTTGCCGCTTTTAAACTTTCAAACGTTAAGCATGTTAGGTAGTATACACAATTTAGTTTAGTATTTTGTACAATATAAATAGTTTAATTAGAATTAGAAATTAAAAAGTTTGTGAAAACTGATGTTTGTGGCTAGATAACTCAAAAACCACTGGACTAATTTGAATGAAACTTTGCAATATTATAGTTTATATATCAGAATAGCACATAGGATACTTTTTGACAAATTTTAATTTTAAGGGGGTAATATTGGGGTTAATTGTTAGTGTGGGGTTATAATCGTTGTTATAGCTTTGTAATCATAACAGAGGCGTCTACGCACAACTGCACTGAGTTCTACGCGTCGCAAGTCGTAGAAATTACGAATATGTATGTTTGTTGCTCAATAACACAAAAACCACCCAACCAAATTTAATCAAACTTTGACATATTATTCCTAACACATCAAAAGAACACATAGACTACTTTTTATCCAAAAAAACTTAATTTAAAAGCATAAAACATCAAATTTTAATTAACATACAATATAAATCATATTTCTACCTTTTTAACAAAAAATATAAAAGATAAACAAGCAACAAGATGCAATTAATTAAGCTACTAATAAAAAACTGATTACAAATCCATTACATGCATGAATATGTTAATGTAGTCTCACAGAAAAATAAAAAGAAAACATCTGGTATACATTCCACCCGCGACATTTATAACATTCAAGTGCAAAACCGCAAAAAGCACGTGATAAAATGTTAAACCGACTCAAACGCACACTTCGCTGATATAAGAAATATATTCATCGCAATGTTGAAGGCGTACGGCACACAATTTTTTCACGCGTTCTTATTTTAGCCGTCAGTTTTTTCCTCGACGGCTCGACCTGCTAGCTCTCATGAAGAAAACCAAGCGGTTTAAATTTTGAATGACTGTAAATGGCTGTCTGCAGTTATACAAATCAGTGGAGTTATTTAAATGAGGTTTAAAATTACTCAAATGCAAAGAAGAAAAAAAACTATTTTTGCGCATTTTGAGTTTAAGACTTTATTTTACCTCAGAATAAAGTTATATAAGGTGTGTGGTTCATAAAATCATAAAACCAGCAGACCTAGAAAATCCCTTATGCATTTTATATTTTCTTTTTTCTTTTGTGTATATTTTATGTGTGCTATTAACTTTCCGAGTGCAAATTTCTGTTTTTCGTACTGTTTCAAATACGATTTAATAATTTCACCCAAAATCGTTTAGTTTTGCCGCCGTAAAGTTTAATTTAATTCATAAATCAATTAGTCATTTAGCTGCTACATTTCCATCCCTACTTTACGGGCCGTATTGTTGGCAAAAAGTTTACTTTACATTCGCCGAAACTCGCTTAACGCCAAAGAGAATTTGGGTTGATCGCCGCCAGACGCGCGCTGTAATTAATCACCAATTCCTTAATTATGTACACATGTGTGTGCGACACGCCAAATTAACAGGGTTTACATGACAATGACGTAAAAAATTGACCTGCAAAGTGTTACTATTAAATTATTTGTCACTTTTTATTGCAGAATTATGATTTTCATTTGTTTTTTTGACTGCAGTGGTGAATTTACATGAAAAAAGATGAGGTTTTTACACGTGGGAATTATAATTCCATGCGTGAGCTTTTGATGTGCCCCAGAGGAGAATGAAATTCCCTGTTTTATTCACATTCGCATGAAGGTTTGTTTTTGTTTTTTATTCATTTCGGGTGATGTTTATTCGGCCTATGGCCACTCATGATGATAGGAGGTCCGCCGCAAGTGCGTATCATTTGTCATTCTTGTCGTAGTTGTATAAAAAAAATGTATTCCAATTTAGATTAACCAGGGAAATGCAACTTGAGATTACAGAAAGAAAAATTAAATGTCAGAGAATAAAAAATGTGTATTTGTGCAGGAAATTCATTATTTTACATTAAGAACAACGCGTAGATTTTAATTGAATGAGATTTAACGAACAAAAAGAGCAATTTATGGAATATTTAAAAATGCGTCGAAAAGTGAAGATGAAATGTTGAAGAAGAGAATAGATAATGGAATGCAATTAAAATTAGAGTAAATAATTGATCTCATTATGCAAATGTTAGTAATCAAAATTTTTAGAACTTTGAACAACAGTTTCACATCTCTTTTTTAACAAATAATCGTATATTATAGGATCAAATAGCTAAACAGGAGTTTTAAGTTCCGCTCCGTGACTAAAGCCCGTGACTAAAGTACTTTAGTCACGGCTTTGGTCACCCATGTTTAAAGTACCACTTTTTGTGTCTCTAAACCTTAAAAAAACTGATGAAATTAGAAAAATAGTTTTTTTTTCAATTTTACAACATGTAATGTAACAATTTGATTTAATATCCACATGTCATAACATGTCAAAGTAAAAGTATTAATTTCAAATTAATAAATCTCTAATTCAAAATTCCCAAATGTCAAATTTCAAATCCTAAAAATGAAATCGCGCAAATCTCTAATTATAAAAACTGTATCAAATGCAGACTCGTGTCTAAAGCGTTCGTTAAAAGTCAAAGATAAAAGCACAAGAAAAAGATGCAAACCCTTGACGGATTTGCCAAATGAAGTCCTCCTGATGATATTTTCCCATCTAAGTGCCTTTGATTTGTTTAATAATGTGCGTCCAGTTTGTAAACGTTTCGAAGCACTCACCACCGAACATAAACTCTGGCAAACTGTCACACTACCCAAAGAAGTCGCGAGATTAACACTGAATCAGCTATTGAAGATGCACGGCAATCACATCCGCCATTTTAAGACGTGTGCACGTAATGACGGCGAAGATGTCATCAATGATGTCAGGAAAAACATAAAAATATTAAGAATTTTTGTTATTTTGTGTTTATTTTATAAATAGGTCTCAAAACGATGCAAAAACTTGGAATCTATTAGCACCGTAAATGTTTGGGGTTCCCCTCATTCCCAATGGATGCATGCCGGGTATCTCTGCAATATGGTTAAGCGATGTAAGCGATTAAACCGCATTAACCTAACAGGCTGCAGGTTGTAATTACAAAATACACTGAAATGCAGTAAGCGAATGTAATCGGGGACTTTTCACTTGTAGATTTGATTCATCCCGCTTTTTCAAGCTGTGGTCCGAAGCGAGGAAGGCACAAGCTCACATGAAACCTTTTAAGTACATTGGCCCGATGACCGCAAAGCACATGAATGTGCTGGCCCTTTCATTAAGCCAAGATTCGGGCCGGCCGGCCGGGATCCGTCTCGGAAATAATACATCGAAAGTGATAAGTCTTGATGAAGCTTTCAGCATGCTGCCATTGTTGTGGAATACGGTACTTAGCTTTGAATGAATATATTTTGTGCGATTTTCATAATAAATTCATTGGAAAGCATGTAATTTTGATGAAAAAACGAGGATTTTGTGTGTTATTACTTGAATATTGCTTGTAAAGGTTTAGTTTTGTCGTAAATTGACCAGGAAAGCGATTTTATTACATAAGGAAAGTAATAATACACGAGTAATGAAAGTAGAGTTGCCTAACTAAGTTTTTCCGCGTTTGACGCAAGGTTTCTTGGATCAGCGCCACCTACCTGTGGAAAATGTAATCAAAAAAAGTTCCTAAAATGTTTTTCACTTATAAATACAAATATTTAGCTTTGCAAATTTATTTTAACTCCTAGAACAACTATACAAGATTAATTTGATGAATTACGTGCTTAAAACTGCGATTTTCCATGATCATTGCCTTGAAATCCTTCTGTTGTTGTTCCCAGAAACATTTAATTAAATTACGAAGAAAATCTATAAGAAAACATGAAATTAAATCTTTTGAAGTTGTTTATGAAGGGCTTCTTACATTAGGATCGTTATTTTTGTAGCACTCCATTATTTGATACGCTGAATCACATTCATCAGCTCCTCCTGTTAAATAAAATCGTCATTTTTGAAATAAAAACATATGAAATAGTTGTGCAACATACTTGTATCTTGACATGTAACATGATTCGATCTGAATTTCTCTCTGAGATTCTCAGGAAAAGCTTTAGTAGCTGTGTCAGCATTTACACCGCCATTTTCCCACTGTAATAAAATAAAATGGCGACAAATTACGTTTTTTTATTTAAAACTTTGATATCACTTACAACTCCCATTTCTTCGAAAACACATTTTAAGTAACACTTGTAGTGGCCTTCCTCTTCTGTTCCATGCTCGGGGAAGATAAAATCACGTGCTTTTTCAACGGTTTCTAAAAATATTACCTACGTAAAACACAAGAATTGTTGGATAAATAAGAATTTTACCTTTTGATATCGGGATTTTTCCAAGGCACGTTGCCATAATAACATTACCAGATTCAACATACTCTTGCGGAACATTTTTCCATGCCTATGAATTATAAAACACAAAATAAACAAATGAACAAAACCACTGGTTAAATAAATAAAAACAAATTCAATTACGTTGGTATTCATCACGAATAAAACACACAAAACCGCAATATATTTGATTAAATTGTAGTCAGCCATTTTGTTACACAATTTTTTACAACTTAACTTCAACATTGATCAGTTTTTCTATTTATACTTTGTTTACAAGCAATAAATAATGGAAATTGCGTGTTGTACAAGACAACAACACGAAAAAGGAAGAAATTTCGTTGGAAAATGGTTTAATACTTAGTTATTTTGTTTAATAATATCAAAAATAACGTGTTGAGATGATTATAGTTGAAATATTAATACATAACACCTTGAAATGCATTAAAATTATACTTTTAAACGCGTTATTTTGATTTAACAATATAATTTCAAGTTTGTGGACATGCAGCGCCATCTATTGGCCTCAAACTACATCTTGACAACTCACAGATCAGCAGATTAAGTGGAAGCCGCATTCTAAGCATGTGCTATGTAAATACTCATAAGAAGAAGTTTGACAGCGCGCTCAGTGTGGTGTATATTCCCAACAAAAATCATCTGATTTTCAGATTCGCCTGAGCGCTGGGAAAACAAACCGATTCAGTTTTTGGCGAGTGTCGGTGCGCGCGGCCAACTCGTTCATTCGTGCGTAAATGGCCTTGCTGGTCATCGACGCAAACACGAGCAGCGCCAGCGAAGACAACAATCACGCGAGGTCGCGTCCGCAAGCCATCACCGCCGTTGCAGCCGCCACCGCCTCCTTGGCCGACGGTGTCGACCGCCACAATCATTACCAGCTGATGGCGCGCGCTCGCTTAACGAACGCGTCCGTAAGCAGCACATCGACATGATGCGCTACAAATTGATTTGATAGTCGTCGCCCGCGTGCAAGCAACCGAAGGAGGAATATCAGTGTTATCGGCGAGTTAATGCGACGAAAGTCAGGTAAGCAAGCAAGCAAGTTATTTATTTCTGTGGCCGCCATTCCGCACGATCACAAGTTGTGCAAAAGGTATACACAAGGTGCACAACCTTGCGACGCAACAGTATTCGTGTGTGGTGTGCGCGTACGTACACGCCGTGTGCGCGTGTATCGAAACAAAATCGCAGCGATCATAATAACAAACGCGTCAATACACACAAAGGCGACACAAGAAGCAAGTGAACACAACAAAACCAACCAAATCTCAATATAAGAAACAAAACACAATCGGGTAACGTAAATAAACAACACATGCGCAGAGAGGAGTAACAAAGCATCAACATTTATTTTTTACATAATGACTAATGACTAATACACAACTTCGCATCCATCCATTTTGTTAGGCTCAGTTATCTATTAATTAACAACGCATATTTGCAAATCATGCGCGCAACACACAAAACATTCTATTTATTATTAAATGCACAACTTGTTACACTTGTAAGACATGTCTAGTTGCACGTCGCGATGAATAAACAATATTGTATCATAAAACAAACACGAGTAACGATGACTGCGCCACGCCAGACAAACAAAAACTTGTGATCGTAGATTAACGTGCGGAAATTATTTTAAGCACATTGCGTTATCGTATCACACGTTTTCTTATCATAACTATGTAAATCCTTGCTTGCAACACATGTAACAATCAAATATGTAAAAAAATATTGACGCGTAAACATAAATAGCACTTTTCATTCATGATTCACTTTTTTTTTATAGAATTATCCCACTTCGAGTACAACGCAAAGTCATCACCATGAATCTGTTCATCTTTCGTGTCGAGACAGGCACCATGCTTGAGTTTCAACTGGAAATGACTACCGAGAGGTAAATAAATGATGAAAATTGATGTTTTTATGATGAAATTTCATGTTTTCGGTGTTTTAGTGTGGGACAATTGAAGCTAGAGATAGGAAATCGTTTGGATGTGCCACCGGAGGACCAGGTGCTGCTGGTGAGCGGCGGCATTTGCCTGGAAAACAGTGCCAAAGTGATCTCGTACTCGTCAGGGACGGACACAAATCCCATCTTTCTATTCAGCAAGAGCAGCATTGAATCACCCACGCCGCCATCGGCCAGCGCATGTTCCAATTCGTATGTTTGCCTGCCTACCAACCAGCGACTTCAATCAACTGCTGGGGATGAGGTTTTTACTGAGGATGCTAGTGATGGTATACAACCAACTGGATATTCATCTTATAATGGTAATATTTTTACTTTTTTTTGTAAAATTTTTAAGTTTTTTAATGAAAAATTTGTGGTTAGAATTCCGAAAAAGAGTTCTACAAAGTAAAAACCTACCATCCACGATGGAGACGGTGACGAAGCGGGCACGACTGGCACAAGAGTTCTACGAAGAAGCGCTTCGCGAGAGCCAATGCTGCCAGAGCGTTGTTTACGACCAACAACTCGCGCACCAAGGCTGGTTGGCGGCCATTGCGAATCTCGAAGATATCACGAATGATTTCCAGAAGCGCATCAGCACGGTGCGGCTGTTCTTCGACGAGTATCTCGAGCAACGTAATATTTATGTAGAATTTTTAAGTGTGTAAGTAAACCACACTCAATTATCACTCATTAAGTCAACTTAAACTAATTTTATTTAAAAAAATTGATAGATATAAAGAAGCTTTGGATAAATTAGCAAAAATACCAATAATACCATCACTGCTACTCACTGAAGTCGACGCCGACAAAGCGCCGAGCACCAGCAAGACGCTCCTCGAATGGATCGAAGCCCGAAGAGACTCTAAAAGCGAAACTACCATGGATTCACTCTACGATACATGCTCGCGTGGTATCGAGTACTACCACGCTGAATTATTCAAAAATCTCTACGAAGAAGTACAATATGCGTTTGTTACGTCCAGTAACACCGAAATGAAGGAGATTTCCGGTTTGAGCAAACGTCTCTTCAGTCTGGATCAACTCACGCACAGTTGTGAACCGCTGGTGAAGGAACAAAGCTACTCAGCGCAGTCTTTTCAGAGTAATCAGGCGCGCGCGGGTGATTTACGCGATAATTCCGTGCTGCCTGATTTGTGCATCTCGCACGGTAAACAACTGATACGCATGTTGAATAATCACTGGAAACTCTGTGATATTCACAAGCGGTGCATGCGCAGTAAAGAAGAACTCTGTAATAATCTACATCAACGATTAAAATGGATGATACACGCTGAGAATTTATTACGTTGTTCAACTGATAGGATTTTAGCGTATTATGAACACGTTGTACGGTTGAGGTTTAACATAAGTGTTCTGCAACAGATCCACATGGCGCCGGAAGCATACATGGCTGCGGTGGTTGAAGTACTGCGTCGTAAGAAGTTTTCGCAGGCGTATCTTTTGTGGGCTTCTGATTTAACGTGTTATATGATGACGATTTATAACGATGAGGTAACACGGAGGAAAGATTTCAAGGCGAAGTATGACGGACACTTTTTGATGGGCTTGTTTCCGGGGATGAATGACTTACCACCGAATTTTGCGACACAGCCGCCATCTGCTTTTGATTCTAGTCTGCCGACTTTATCCATTGAGGATATTGAAGAGCTGAAGAGAGCTGTGCCCGAGATGGGGGAGAATCTTGTTATTCCGGATATGACAGCGATAACGAATTATTTCTTAGCGAAATCACAAGTTAAAAGTGAGGACAAAGCAGAGGGACTTGTGAGGAAAAATTGGAGCAGGTTGTCAACGAGGTGGGATTAGCAAGCAATCTGGATCAGAATCTGCTGAAGCCTGGTGATAATGAATGTCTTTTACCGCATGGAATCGCACAACTTAAAGATCTTGACAGGTTAATACTTAAAATTATTTTATTTTTGTTTTTAATTTAATATTTTTTGTATTTAGGGGTTGTGAATCCGAAACAGACACAGAAGAATTCGAAAAAGTCTGTCAGAGTCCCATGGATCTCCAGTTCGAGAAGGATCCACCCTCCCCGCGGCCCGGCTACAGCGACATGACAACACTAACAGAGGTTTGTTGTGATAAGAACAAGGCGGCGGCGGCGCCGCGCAAACCGCCGCGTACTTTCCTTGTGGAAGGAGGCAGCAGCGGCCGCCAGAATGTCTCGCTCGAGTCTATTGACGAGATGGCCTCGCTGCGCAATGTTGGCGACAGCTGCTACAACTCGCACCACCAGCACCTCGCTGGTTTCGTGCGCTCCAAGTCGCTGTCGCCGCACGCGCCCCACTCGCCCACCGGCTACCATGCTAGCGATTTCGTCAGCGAGGAGTTCTATATCGACGAAAGCCTGCCGTCGAGTCTGAGCATTGAGCAGGCGGCCGGCGAGATCGCGCTGCAGCTGAGCAACGCCAACGACGTGGTTGCGTTGCTCCAGGTACTTCCACTCTCGCAGACCGATACTCTCTCTCATATATACCGCACGGTTGTTTTTACGTTTTTAGTTTGCGTTTTGTTCAGTTCAGTTGTATGTATATACCACACTTGTTGACGGAGCGCTAGCATTGGTGGCCTATCCTTGTTTATCCTTAGCTATTATTAGTTTTAAACATTGTAGATGCATGATAATCATGTCACGTTTAAAATTTACGTTTAATTGAGAATATTTTATTCTAGGATAATTTACAATCGTCGAGAAGTGAGCAGGATAAGTTAAAAGACTTGCTTATTAATATGGCGACGATTTACCGCTCGATTTTCACTGATTTACGGCAGGAAATGGCGGCGATTAAGACAAAAGTGCAATGTGAAAGTTCAGCGCTTGAGTTGCGCTGTAAAAGTTTAAGTTCTTCCTGGGATAATCTCACGCACGAGTTTGATCTCAAAGAGAAAGCGATTTCCCAACTCACCGAAAGTCACAACTTTGAGCTTTCCAATTACAGACAACAGCTGAAATCTCACGTCGATGAAATCAAATGCCTCCGCGAGGAGAACTCGTGCCTCGATTCAAGTCTTAATAAACTCGTTGATGAAAACAAACAATTGATGAGCAGTCAACGCGCCGCGGACGATGAATACAACTCGCAGATCTTAGTTTTGCAGGCGGAACTAGGCGAGAAACGCGACAAGGAGCGTGAGTTAAAAGATGCGATTGATCGCATGGCGCATCAACACAAGTCCGCCATGGATGACTTGCGGAAAAAATTCCGTTTTATGACCGAACGTAGTTTATCTGAATCAAGTCCAGAAGGACAGCAAAAATCGGTTTGTCTGAAAGTGAACTAACAAAAATCACTGAAGAAATTCGCCATGCAGAGCGCATGCGTGCAGAGAAAATTCTCATCGAACGCAATAAAGAATACGAGTTTGAATTGAAGAGAATCCGAGAGGAAGCAAAGCGATCCATTGAAGAGAAAGACAATTTACTGGCGGCTTTGAAACTGGATTGCATCAAACAAAAGAATTTAATTCTACAAATGACTGAGTCTCAGATGGAAACATCTTCAACGAGTGAACTTCGCCAAACAGTCGAAACTTTACAGAAAGAAAAAGATGAACTAGAATTGCAGTTGTTGAAACGCATGGAATCCAGTGAAATGACAGCGAGTACTTCAAGTTGTTCAGGAGCTGTGAAACGTTCCAAGTACAAAGAACCATTGACAGTTAGTCAAACAGCATTGGTGGCTACAAACAGAGTGAATGTTGATACTTGTTCCAAGGGCGATAAAGTTCTTGTTATGTGGAAAGCCAAGTATAAGAACTTCATCGTTGTACAGGAGAGTGATGTGTTGCATTTTGTGCACACAGACTGTACAAAAGAGTACAATCCGCTGGAGAATGAAGATACAAGTATTTATTTCACAGCTCTGGTGGTTGAGAAGGAATACTGTCAAACTAAAAAGGTAAAAATTTAAATATTTGAGGTTATCCTTACTATTTTGTTATATTTTTCAGTCTGAAAATCGTTATAACGTCGCAAAAGGCACCAAGTTCTACCGGGTGAAGATTGTCCCAATTAGTACATCAGAGGAAGCCAGGCCGACGATGTCGCAGAGTCACAACGTGCCGAAATCGACGCCGCTGGTGCCGATGGACGAGTCGGTGAGCGACTCGGCGTGCCACTCGCTGCCGAACTCGCCGACCAAGGAAGACAAGTGAAAGCAAACTGACCGCTATTTTAATTCGTATTCTATTTTCGCGCTTAAGTTCTTACGTTTATGTGATATCTCAATATTACCTTTGTTTCTAAGTTCAATATTTACATTATCGGTACATTAATCTAGCATATTAATGTACGAAGGACGTGATTTAGTTGTGAATGAGTAACTTTTTCGTTTGATTTGTTTGCGAAAATTAGAATTAATGTGATAATAAGATGGCATGCATGGTAAAAGAAGCAAACATTACGCAAGTTGGTCTTTGTCTAGTGATATGATAGTATAATACTGGTGATAAGATATTTTGTCCATTACATTATTCACGATTGACCATTTTTATTCGCTATCAGAGCAGGAGATTGGAGATTTGTACATATTTAATACACATACGGACATCACTTGTATTCATTCGTTCTCATCGTGGCTTGTTTTGTTGATCATTATTTATAAATAGCTGTTGGTGAGAATCAAAACAATTTCAAAAAGTTTCAAGCGGATTTGCGGATGGGAATTATCTTCATACATTTACCTAGTTGTATCGAATATTCAAGACACCACACCGAAGACACGCAGTTTTCACTAGTTGAACTAGTTGATTGTCCCCTGAATTTCGAACTTTTTACATACTGTTGAAACTTGCAACTTCAAGCTGTCCTATATCTGTAATATTATTGTTAGAATATTCTCTAGTGTCTAACCGGCAAACGAATCACAATCAATAATCTTTCACCAATTTATATGAAGTTCAATGAAACTGTAAATAAGCTTTAAAACAAGAGAAAGAGACGGTGGGGAATAAACTTGAGACCATTTTATCAAACGCAATATGCATCACACCGTAAATTGTGCTAGGATTATAAATAACTTGATGAAGAAAAAACGCTAAAGACAAATGAATATTTATTGTATTTTCTATTTTTCTAGTGGCTCTGTACTAACACTTGTCTATTCGCTACTTCAAACTCTGCTAATCTTTGATTTTAAGTGTGTTTTTCTCTCGTCTTGTTGAAACATGTACTTCTCTTCTGGTTACTCTTTAAGTTTACACAACACACACAATGAGGAGACATAATTGACAAAGCTTTACGAATTTTTAATATCCGCTAGCAGGCAGTTTAATTGATTGTGGATAGATATTGTGCATGTACAGTCTGTAACGAGACCATGATAAACCAAGATAAACGTCAAAGTTTTCGACAGTAGACGATTGTTTGTCTGCGTAGTTGCGTTGGTCACATAATATGATAACAAATTTTTATATAAACAATAAAGAAAGAATTAAAATGATAATTGCATGGTGTATTTCCATCAAAATCATGTTTATTTCCTGAAAAATATAAGAATTTGAACATGTTTGCAATGTAGTTCTATAAATTGAATGTAGGTGGCGCTAGCATGTCGTTTACCAAATAAAATGTTTCAAGGTCATTGCATATGAGCTCAATTTTATTGAATTAAAACAAAATTTCTCAATATTTACTCTTTTTTGCATGTTTTCTTGCATAATAAAACAAATAAATGATTAGTTTAAATCCTCAGCGTCTCTGCTTCTCTATAAAGCTTGAAATAATGTGTTTTAATCTTTATTCAACGTAAATTTGAAAAATATAACTTTATAATCTACCACGAGGGGGCGCTGCAATGCACTTCTTCATGCACAAATTTTGCGCGTCCGCGCAACATCACGTGATCTCTCTTATCTCTAAAACACTTGTTTTTCACGTTTTTCACACCTAAGAGTTGTTTTGTTAGCAGCGTTAGCAGTAGTTATTGTGCATCGAAGAAAACAACAACAAAACCGTTGCAGTCCGCCATTACCTAGATGAAAACAATTCCACACCACATCCAAGGTAAGAAATACAAAACAATCTGCATGAAAAGATGACGAGCGTCAGTAATATCACAATATTTATTAGAATCTATGTATATACAGAGTTATTTCGTTGTTGATTCGCATCTAATTGAAACTATGCACCTAACTATATACAATACAACCAATCGAACAGCATAATAGTCTAATACACGGTGCAAACGTTAAAAATGCCCATCGACCGTCAAACGTAATAAGTATTCTAATGCGGAAATAAGTAACAAACACAATTTACACTAAGAAAATATACACTAATCGTTTGTTAGATATAATTGACTTAATAAATTTGATAAGTAATCAAAAAAGGCACACGTTTAAGAAAACAGAAAACTTGAATAATTGATATCCCGTTAGTAATTGTTTAATTGTTCAACATGATGTGCTCGAACTCATTGTTGCAATTGTATCCGTGCGCCATTTTGAATCCGTTGAGGTTATGCACATCTTCGAACATCCCGTCGGCCATTTGCATTTTTTCATAACCATTACTACTCAGCAGACAAGTATAATCAATATACTCATTGTTTTGACTTGGCGCATGCGCACCAGCGGATGGAAACCGTTGTCCTTGCTCATATTGACACAGTTTATACTTATTACCGTACTCGTAGTGCAAATCATCATAATACATCTTCCCTTCGCCTAAATCAGCAACAAAACCAACTTGGTTTTGTGTATTTATTTGCTGTTGGTAAAAAAACTCCTCCTGGTGGGTTTTGGCATCAAACGATGAAGAACACAGGGTGTTATTATTGTTACTCATGATTGTATCGGGGGAAGCGTTGAAATTAAATCGACTGCTTGAGTTGCTATCGTCATTGGTATTGACATTGGTTTGCGTCCAGTATTCCGCTTTGTATTCACGATGGATGGTCCCACTTCCAAGGTCAAGTAGAGTAGGTGGTGATTGACTAGTTGTATTGACATTAGGGACCACATTAGTGAATTCATTCTTTATGGGTTGATCCAACTGGAAGATCTCCTCGGGTTGAAAGAGATCACCTGGGATGTTTAATGGTAGAGTAAAATCATAGGATTGCGTCGGGGGCATAGCCGCCACTTCGGTCGGGTAGGATTGTGCTTGTGGCGGTTCTTGCGTCCAATACGAATCGAGAATTTGTTGCTGGTGGTGGTAGGGGGCGGTTGTTGCGGAGGCGGAAGTTGAAGCACCGGGGGAATACTGGAGGGGCGTTGTTGTGTGAATACTACACACGCATTCAAACGGCGGGCAGGAGCAATAGGATTTCTCGGCGTCTGCTATCAGTGGTGGGGGCGGCGGGGCGGCAAGGTGCGATTTATATTGACGCTTGGAAAGAAACTGCAAAAGATTATCTTTTATTAGAATTTACGAGTATGTTATAAATTGCAGAAGTATTATTTATCAGTGAATCATAAAACATAAAATATTCTGCTTAGATTCATCGATAGTTATTTTAATGATTGTGAGTTTTCACCTCTGGCGCAGAGCGTTTGTCTAGTTGATAATTACAATGGTATGCAACACAACCAACAATTATGTTCTGTGTGGTCGATTTATCAATGTATTGTTGTTTTCTTTCACTGTCGGCTCCCGCTTATTAAATCCGAAAATGTTTTGATTCTTTACCTTGTTAGTCATTGAGGATTCTCGCGCTAGTAGAACAGCCAGGCCTCTCACTCGCCTCCCACTGCCGATGCTGCGACGCGCCTCTGATGTGCTCTTTGCTTCCGGCCGCGGATGGTCATGCACTCCTTTCGCTTGGAAAAAAATCGCATGCTCGGTATGTCTCCAGAAATGCGTCACTGGGTAACCACAATGCCCTCGACAGGCTAGTATTTCTAATCTGCCTGTACACTGACGATTTGGACATGGTTTACCTTTAAAAATTCAAAAAATTTGAAAATTTTCCCAAAAAAAATTTTAAATTTTTCACAAAAAAAATTTTTAAATTTCAAAAAATTTTTAAAATTTCAAAATACTTTTAATTTTTCACAAAAAAAATTTTTAAATTTCAAAAAATTTTAAATTTTTCCCAAAAAAAATTAAAATTTCAAAAAATTTTAAATTTTTCCCAAAAAAATTTTAAATTTTCAAAAAATTTTAACTTTTTCCCAAAAAAAATTTTAAAATTTCAAAAAATTTTAAAATTTTTTTTTTCTCACCTTGTTGTTTTTTGCGTGCTTTATCACAAATAGCAGGTCTCAAATGAACAGTATCACCATTCGGTAGGGTGCATCTCATAGAACAAACCAAAACCCCAAGACAACTTTTTTTCAAAATATGCACGTTATGATTGTTGGTGTTGCGCATCGCCCAGCCACTCGCGTGTCGCTTTGCCTCCTCAGAATCCGCGCGATACACCAGCCGACAGTGGCCATCGGCCCACTCCGAGAAAGGGTCATATTCGCTGATGCGCGGGATCGCGCTGTCGTTGATGTCCCATTCGGAGGCGGCGCCGTAGGAAGACACCCGGCACGTCATGCCCGGGGATGTTGGCGTATGCCTATTGAAAACACCCAGTATAATATAAATTCTATTGTTACCTCAACACACGGAATAATTAATAATCATAGCGCACGAGTGCTGAGAGAGAAATAATTATAGGTTTCAAGTTCGGTTTGAGATTTTCGAAGTTTTATTTCATTACAATTGATTGTATCTCATTGCAAAGACATACGAGCCAAAGGCAAAACGCCTCTCCCATTATTTCTCGATCGATTGTATCGATAAATTTATTTTATTATTTAAAAGTGAAATTTTATAACATTTTAATATTTATCTACTTACAATATGACCATATCTTCTTAAAACCACGTTTTTATCCGTTTTATTAACCAAGCAAGCACACAATTCACTTTCTGGCACTGTAATTATTCAATTGGACACTTTTTTCAAATTTCGTTTAATTCCGTGTTTGCTGGAGTGCTTAGAGTTCTTGCACCCTAACGCTAGAAGCTCGCACGACACACTGACTCCGGCTCGCCGGCCTCCGGGAGTAGTGTGGGCCTTCGCGGAGCGCTGCGTTCCCTTCCTAACGCCGCGCATAGAGGATAGAAAAGCCCGGAGCCAGTCCGGAGACGCCGGGAAAACAATTTCAGTCGACGCCACTCCCAGCAACCGCGGCGCTTACCATTGCACTCGACCAATCCGTGCGCGAGCGCGTCTAACACCCACGACGCCCGGAATTGCCCCTCCGGAGTAATTGTCTATCACCTGCGCTGGGCGGATTGGTCGCGTGTCACGAATTCGAGGCGCCGAATGCAGTTGCACCCACTTTCAAACGGTACTGGGCTCCTGTTTAAGGTCAAGGACATTAAAGACCAGAAATCTTAAGGAAAATTTATGTAAAAATCTTAATTTTGCGTAGATTTATTAATTTTTTAAGGTAAAATTAATTTTTTTACTAAAATTTTTGTTTTTTCGCGTTTTTTGAGGCAAATTTTGATGAAAATTTAATTTTTTTGATGTTTTTGAAACACTCAGCGTGTGATAATGTCCATCGAAAGCGAAAGTGCTTAAAATCAGTGCAGAGAGTGCGAAGAGCTGAGAAGTGAAGACGATGCGTCGCGAGTTGTGCGTGCTTGTTGCCTTTTTTGGCACGGCGCTCGCGCGCGCATGGGTTAATAAAAAGCCGGTTGTGCGGTTGGCGCATAAATCATGCGGACGATCGCGTCAATTAGATGGATTTACATAATGATTTACATTTAATGAAATTATCATAAATAATCACACATTATGAAATAACTGATTAGGGTAAACGCAAGTTTTCTGCGATTTCTTTAAATTACGGACATTATATAAGATTATAGACATTATCAAGTGCTTGAATTAATAATATTTGAGTATAAGTTGATATATAAATTTAAATCAGGGTGGTATCATTTATTGTTTCAGAGATATTGAGATTTTAATTTTAGGTTAGGTTAGTGGTAACATTTTTTAGTTTTTTGTTAATTGCGTAAAAATTATTAGATGTAGAATTTTGAGATTTGGGAAAATTATAGTCAATTAAATTATCTTTCAAATGAATTTTTATTTTTTTGTTATCAGGTAATTATTAACCGAGTTATCATGATTTGAAAAACAAAAAAAATCTGAAACTGAAAAATTGGTGGATTTTATTAAGTTTTTAATTATTTATAAACAAATAACAATATTATTTAAATATATTAGTATCACATCCTAGAGTTATTGATAACAGCTATCATTTAACGCAAAAATCTTAAATTTATCTCATTTAGTTTTGGAATTATATCAAAAAAACTCAAAAAAATGACATTTTTATTAAGTTTTTAACAATTTATATACAAATAAAAATCATATTCATAAATATCAATATCACATCTTATAGTTATTGATAACAGCTATCATTTAAAGCAAAAATCAGAGTTTTATCTTGTTTAGTTTTGGAATTATATCAAAAAAACTTAAAAATTTGGTGTTTTTTTAGTTTTTATTTATTTTTTAACAAATAACAATAATATTTGCATATATCAATATCACATCTTATAGTTATTGATAACAGCTATCATCTAAAGCAAAAATCATCGTTTTATCTTTTTTAGTTTTGGATTTACAGCAAAAAAACTAAAAATTTTGACATTTTTCTTAAGTTTTTAACAATTTATAAACAAATAAAAATAATATTCATAAATATCAATATCACATCTTATAGTTTATGATAATACCTATCATTTAAAGCAAAAATCACACTTCTATCTCATTTACTTTTCAAATTACAACCAAAAACATTTCATGAAAATAATTCCAACATAACACTTGGAAAACAAACAATATTCCAACGTAAATTTTAACAAGATTGAACTGATTACTACTTTGACCTGCGCTTGATACCGGATTGACAAAATTGCTGCCATTCCAGCGCACGAGCTTTCGTCCTGCGAGGCGCGCACGTTCCTCACCAATACTAATCATAATAATAATCATTTAATAAACGCGGATTTGTCACATTTGCGCGCGAGTTACGATGCGCTATATGAGGTAGCAAGCGTGCGCAATAAATACTTCGCGGACTAGATAATACTGTTATATTAACATGCATCCTTGGCATGAGATATTGGTGCGCCATCAGAATATGCCGTGTATGGCCGCGTCATTTTTGCGGATTATCGCGTTGTTGTTGCCTTTTTTTGTTGTTCTCTTCGTCTCGACTTCCAGTAAATATCGCAGATGCACGCGAAATCTTTATGGTGATTCCTCAACTCGATTACAATATCATTTACCTATAGATGCGTGTAACATATAACAAGTTGAGCGCGCGATTTGTGCGCGAATTGTGCGCATCGTTCGGATTCCCAGATGCGCGCGATGCTGCGGCGCCGATTTTATTTCGCGAAATCGTTGCGGTTGTAAATTGCGCGCGATTTTATTATTATTATGTTATTTGTCGATATTGGCGATGCAACCTCAACACGGATATCGCGCATTTTGAAAACAATATTTTTTTTGATTAGATTTCTGTAGATAGGCAACCCAAATAACGAAATAATTAAATATTTTGATTTTACACTGGTTATTTCTTGTAATTTCATCAATTTTTAAAGATTTTTGGTATTTTTGAAAGGATTTTAATGCGTTTTGACGGAAAAATCAATAAAATTGAAAGAAAAACATTATTTTCTTGAGTAAATTACAGTTTTTGTACTAAATTTACTGCATTTTAGGAGAAAACGATGAAAATTTAATTTTTTTATTAATTTCTCGTAGTTAAAAAGACTTTTAACAAGTTTTACTGCTAGAATTATTACAAAATTTAGTGTAATCTGTTTAAAACGAGGTTTATAAGATGTTGTTACATCGAGGAACAAAATATAACCAAATATTGTGATTTTACAAAGATAGGCAACTGTTTAATCTTTTGTTGCGCTGGTTATAACCTCAATTACTCTTGTAAAAATGCCGGTAAATATTTCCTGAAGTCTAAATATGAATTCCGCGTCGCTCAGTTGTATTCACTTGTGTTATGTTTAAATGATTTTGTTGTAACGCAACGTGCACCCCAACAAATGAGCTGAAAAATCGTGCTTAAGTTATAGAAATTTGCATTGCAATTTGTGTGTATGTTGGGTTGCATAACCACAACAATATTTCAAATGCTACCATTGATGTCATGTCATAAAACAAATATTCTAGCTCATAATTGCTTGAAATGAAAATATTTTTCGTCGTTACTCAGAAAAAATTAATAAAAACCAAGCAAATTGTACAAATTTCATAAAAATAAAAACAGGAATTATTTTTTGTACAATTTATAATAAATTTACTCCGGTAAGAATTCGCAAAATAAAAAACGCAATTCAAATACTTATGCCGCGCATAACTCTCTCGCGTTCCGAGAATTTAACAAAATTGAATAACGATCGCATTGAATGTTATTGCACAAAAACAAAATCACACTTTTTATCGCCAACGCGCATGATTCAATCAATTGGAATAATTATCCCGTGCAGGTGTTGTACAAATGAGACATAAATTACTAATTGACATCTTGATCCTTTAAAAAAAAAAATTAAAAAATTAAAAAAATTAAAAATATAAAGAATAAAAAAGACATCTGAAAGTGTCTAATACCTATACGTTGCACTTACGCACTTAACTTCTAGTAACTCATAGTAATATTTCGCTGCGAGTGTGCGCGTGTGTCCAGGTGTCTTGTTTACCGGAGTGTGCGATCCTTTGCGCTCCTGACGGGACGCGCGTGTTCCCATGCGGCCCGTGCGCAGCCGCTCGCGCGCGCCGAGTGTAACTGCTACCCGTATATTTGTGGCAACGTTTGTCCACGTGCCAAATTACAACGTAATCTTACAAACTCAACCGTTTGCTGTTAAGTTATAAGCAATAAAATATACAAGCACATAAAAAAACTAAAAAATACATTTTCAACCATAATCCACTACAATACTATACTTTATCCACGCGAAACACAAAATAAAACAAAATATTTTATTTTTTGCTTTTTAAAGACTCCTATGGCTGGGAATTTGAAAAACGTTGATACATTCAAATATATTGCAAATATCTAATATATTTTTGTTGCACAAACTTGCAAACTATTTTTAACACCCTGTAAGTTATATTTTTGCAACAAAAAGTAGTCTATGTTATTTTCCTAGGTCTAAACAATCTCTACTCCAAAATTTATCAAAATTGGTTGAGTGGTTTTTGCGTAATAACGACACAAACATACATTTTAAAAAATACCAATACTAAAATTTTGTTTATTTTATTTTGCAGGTCAAGAATTCCACGATTTTAAATTCCGGGGCAGAAAATATCAAAGTAAGTGCAAAAAACCTCATTATAAATATTCTCACAGCCTTTCTATTAATTAATCACCGTAATAATTCAACCCTTTGCAAAAAAAGATAATATCCCAAATACCTAATCACCATGAGATTTATTCAATTCAAAACAAAAACAAAAAAAACATTTTCAACCATAATCCACTACAATACTATACTTTATCCACGCGAAACATAAAAATAAAACAAAATATTTTATTTTTTGCTTTTTAAAGACTCCTATTGCTGGGAATAGCGTCAGTTGGTGATACATAGCGGCTCGTTAAACGAAGTTTGCTGTATGTCTCCAGCCGGCGACGTTTTATTCCTTTTCGTGTTCATTTTCTAAGCGAGTATTTGCTCTCTGTTTACACTCGCAACCTTTTCGTCCCTTTTCGTGATCTTGAACATTAGGCAACCCACCCTACTCTCACTACGTCTCACTGCGTGTTCTGATTAAAGAACACGCTGAATCTGTGTGCAAATATTGTGCACTTAATTACTCTAGATTCAAAAAACAAAGCCCTAAAGTAGTTTAGATCACTTTAAAAGGGGTTATGATGTGAAGCGTATGTTTTGCAACCTCGGCGAGTGCGTGGAGGAGTGTGCCGCCAACCCCTATATTTAAACGTCGCCGTTTGTCATT